CTCATTCTGTCATTTGCTGCTTACATTGGCTTGATTGAAAAATACCCATACAGGTAAGAAGAAATTCAACTTCTCAAATGACAATTATATACTTCTTGCTCTAACATGATCAGCTGGTCTTTGATTGGGTACTGAGAAGTACTATGTGTTGTAGTTATCTATATCTTCTCTTTTGTGGATATGGCAATATGTTCTCCAGGCAAGTATTTGTGACTTGTCAAGTTATAAAATATCTTCCATTATTATCATTCCCATCCCGCTTTGGGATGGGGTCAGTTTTGTTTTTGTTTTTTGCAAGATACGTCTTTTGCGTTATCAGGATAGGTCCCAGCAATGTGACTAATGTTGCTCCCAAGGTTTAAAACCTTTCCTCAAATTTGTGCATAATATAGATAAAACATCAATAAAAATAATGCTGCTCCCAGAGGTATGCTTCAACCTCATCCTTGTCTCTTTCAGCCCATGGAAGTCCCTGAAAATCATGTTGTTTTGCCCATAGGCTGAGTGTGGGTATCTTCCAATCCTTAATATCATTGTGATCATTTTTAAGGGGGTTTGGAGAGATTCAATTCTTGCTTTGATCTTCTATGTCCTGCCTGAAATTTCTTTTATTGGGACATAAGTAAAAGCAAAGTGATTATGATTCTAGAGAAAGCAGAAATCTAAAAACTTATTAAAATGTGTACATATCTATGGGTATACAAATACCTACCAATTTGTATATGAATGATTAGGTCTAGAAACATATCCATTTCTGTTGTGTGTGTGTGCATGTTTAATTGAAAAGTTTTCATTTTTTTGTAACATATTCCTTAAACAATGACAGGGTAGACTTTATGTAGCTTACCAGATTGCTGAGGTAAATAACTGATATAAAGTTTCGTTTCAAAAAAAGAATGGATAATGGAGTGCAACAAGTATAATTTATCACAAATATGTTCTGCAGCAACAAAGTGAAAGATCATTTAATTTTCCTAGACTGTTGGTAGTGAACTCTTGCTACTTTCCAATATTTTTTAAAAATAGTATCAGATCACAAAACAAAAGATGCCATTTCCTACCTATAAAATTATAGCACTTTCAGGTGTGACTATTTTCACTCAGAAATTAGTAAAGAGCATGAGTTTAACTCTTCTAAGTAATGACCTGGGGTTTGGTTGTTAGATAAAAAGGAGGAAAATCTTTTAATGTTTTTATTAGGTCAAGAATTATAAACCTGGAGCAATTTTAGTTCTGCTTTAGCCATGAAAGCTGTCTGCTCTAGTCATTCTCTCTCTAGTAACCTCTCTCACAGGTTGTTGTGGGGAAAATAGGAGGAGGAAGTAATGTTGGATATGTTCACTGCCTGGAATTTGTAGGAATAGGAATAATAAGAATAGGAATATAATTTTTTGGCAAGTGTGATTGGACAAGCTATTTGTGTTTGGTGCATAAGCTCTCGGTGTACATAACAACAAAGCAACAAAGTCATAAATCATAAGATACAACAACAAAATGATAGCCATAAGATATCAATAGGAGTAGGTAATAGAAAAGATGAGAAAGATAATAGTAATATAGTCCTACTACATGGTTAGATATCCTTAAGCATAAGACAGTGCTGTGGGAATTAGCTGTTTAGCAGAGTGATGGCATGGCGGGGAGGGGGGAATGGGACTTTTTCCTCCTCCTCTTGGTTCTTCTTCCATTGTTGTAAGAAGACAACAACCAATTATTTAGCCTTCACAGGAGGAAGAAGTGTTATTCATGCCTCTTATTTCTTGCAAAGTTTGACTGCAATATTTTCTATTTCACCTGACTGGCACAGAGAATAAATTACATGTTCCTTGAATCTATTTGTGTTATTTATAGGGCGCTTCAATGTTTACTAAATGTTCCAGACTTGTTTAACAATTGAAGGCATGTAACTATGTGACTGGAAACTTTTATATATCCTGTTTTTAAAAGTTGGCATCTTTTTAAGTTTGAAGTTGGTTAATAATATGTCTAAGATTCTGTTCATTTAGAAAGACTTAGTATGTGATCTAAATGTGTGCTCTTAAGGCAAAAGAAGGGTAGAATAATGTTCAGAGAGTGAAGAAATAATATTTATTTATAAATCAAAGTCTTATGTCTACAGCTGGATTATTATTTACAGCAGTGTTTCCTAATTTGGTCAACTTTAAGACATGTGGATTTCAGTTCCCAGAATTCTCCAGTCAACATGGCTGGGGAATTCTGGAAGTTGAAGTTCACATGTCTTAAATTTGGCAAGGTTGGGAAACAGTTCTAGAAAAATCATATTGGCCAGCACACAATTGTGAGTCAGAGAGAGGCCAACAATTCTCACAGAAATCATTTTTTAAAAGGCTGGCACCTTAGCAGTGTATTTCCATTGCACTTCCGTGAATGATAAATGGGTATACCATCATTACCATACAATTTCTTCAAACCCATGGCAAGCTGAGGCATATAAACACTTCGTTGTAGACTGAATTTTCTTTGACTGCATATCTATATGTTAATCATTGCAGACTATGTTCCAGCAAGAACTGTTTCGTCCCTTTACTTACCTAATAAATATTTTCAAACATAATTTATGAGCTGCAATGTCAACCCTAGATGGAAGAAGGAAAGAAAGGAGGAAAAACTGCTTTTATAAATCACAACCATTCACTAGACAGTATCTGTACACTGGGGATTTTTTTGCCTTTTGTTAATTTACTGCATTATATCTACATATATTTATATAAACGTATCTGGAGAGGTGGACTGATTATGTTTTCCTACCATCCAAGATACTGATATACCAAATTTCTAATTGCTATAAAGAAATAGGAGTTTTGCTTCTCTTTTCCACTTTTAAAATTAAATGAAAATACAATCTATAAATATGGCGGAGAACCCCAAAAGATAATTATTATAGCAATAGCACTTAGACTTATATACCGCTTCACAGGGATTTACAGCCCTTTCTTTCTCTAGCAGTTTACAGAGTCAGCATATTGCCCCCAACAATCTGTGTCCTCATTATCACACTTTTTGGTATACTCCTCACCTTTGCAACCTAAAGCCAAATATAAAATGTAGTATGGAGTGGTCTTGTGAACCCTTTGAGATTGGCCACATCAAGAAACCGTCACTGCAGGGGTTCCAAGAATGTTCATTGCTGTTTGTGATTAATTAGCAATAGCAATAGCAATAGCAGTTAGACTTATATACCGCTTCATAGGGCTTTCAGCCCTCTCTAAGCGGTTTACAGAGTCAGCATATTGCCCCCAAAACAATCCGGGTCCTCATTTTACCCACCTCGGAAGGATGGAAGGCTGAGTCAACCCTGAACCGGTGAGATTTGAATAGCCGAACTGTAGAACTACAGTCAGCTGAAGTAGCCTGCAGTGCTGCGTTTAACCACTGCGCCACCTCGGCTCTGCTATCCTTATGATATGGACTTGGTGACCACATAGGTAATTTTTCTCTCTGATAATCTGCCCCTGACTTGGTCCTTCAAGTCTTCCAATGGTACATTCACCATCACTGTAACTGAATTTATCCACCTTATTGCTGGTAATCCTCCTATCTCCCCCAGCATTTAGAGCCTCCTCCAGAGAGCTAGGTCTTTGTGTAATGTGTTCAAAGCAGGATAATTGCTCCTTGTTGTAGGACAGTAGAATAATGGGGTATTGAAAGCCTCCCCATATTGCTTTCTCCCCATCCTATACTAAAATCAAGGTTAGGTTATTTTGTGGGGAGAGGTTCCCCTCACACTTCCCTCTTTCTGTGAAATCTGTTTTGAAAGTTCTCCTGCAACTGCTTGTTCGTACCTTCCATTCCATTCTTCCATTTTTCTTGAATTAACTAGATAATAAAAATATACCTATAGCAATTTGTAATTAGGTGCAGCATTTAAAAAGATAAAAAGGGATGGTTTGAAAGGCAAACATTTCTGAACAGGAAGTCTGCAATCCAGATGGGTTCAGGAGATTTACTTAAGTTTTTGATTTTTATCATATGTAGGCATCTGCGTTCTAAATGCCATACATATGGATTACTTTAAATAAATACATTTTGAATCCAATTATCTTTTTAACTGCATTTCAGCCATTTGTTTAGTTTCCAATATGCCAAAAACGTGTCTCTGTTTGACATCCAAAACAATGTTCAAGAAGTGGTAGCTACCAATCCAAAGACATTAGAGCTTCCAGATACAAGAGTGGGACCAGGCAGCTCCTCACAACAGAAAGATCCTGTGAAGAAACCAGCAAACTACAATGCCCATGAGAGGCTTACGGAGTTCCAAGGTGCATCAGCATCACTTCAAAAGCAAAACAGGAGTAGGCTTGTCATAGTGGAAACTGGTCAAAAATCAGCCGAGAAGAAAGAAAGGCCTTCATTAAACAAAACTCATGCGAGTAAGGAGATACCAGGAGCAAGCCAAACCCTTGCCAAAACTTTGGTTGAAACACGATCATTTATAGATGAGAAGAATCATTCATCACCAGCCTCCAACAAAAAGGAAGAAACAAATAAAGATATGGCACCAGGAAATGAAGAAAAGGAGAAAGCAAAGGCTAAACGAGTGACACCAGTACCCCCAAGACAGCAGACTGCAGGAAAAGCAGCCAAACAGCAGCAGTTCCTTGGTAAAAATGCCACACTGCCCTCTAGAGCAAATCAAATTCACCTGAGAAACCAGTCCAACAACACAAACCTAATTAAAGAACACTCTGCCAAGGCACCTGATGTTCAACATGTCACACATCCGGCTCCTTTACCAACAACCCCTAAAAGATTAAAAGCAGCTGACTTTAAATCTGAGCCCCGTTGGGAGTTTGATGACATTTACCTCTTGGATAATTCAACACCGCGGTCGGTAAGTACCAGTGGTGGGTTTCAAATTTTTTTAGAACATCTTCTGTATGTGTGGCCTGCTTTGTGGGAGTGGCTTGCTGGCCATGTGACCGGGTGGGAATGGCTTGCCAGCCATGTGACCAAGTGGGAGTGGCTTGCCAGTCATGTGACTGGGTGGGCGTGGGCAATTTGTAAAATGTGGTGAAACTCACTTAACAACGCTCTTGCTAAGCAACCAAAATGTTGGCTCAGAAACTCTGGCATTTGAANTGCCCATAGGCTGAGTGTGGGTATCTTCCAATCCTTAATATCATTGTGATCATTTTTAAGGGGGTTTGGAGAGATTCAATTCTTGCTTTGATCTTCTATGTCCTGCCTGAAATTTCTTTTATTGGGACATAAGTAAAAGCAAAGTGATTATGATTCTAGAGAAAGCAGAAATCTAAAAACTTATTAAAATGTGTACATATCTATGGGTATACAAATACCTACCAATTTGTATATGAATGATTAGGTCTAGAAACATATCCATTTCTGTTGTGTGTGTGTGCATGTTTAATTGAAAAGTTTTCATTTTTTTGTAACATATTCCTTAAACAATGACAGGGTAGACTTTATGTAGCTTACCAGATTGCTGAGGTAAATAACTGATATAAAGTTTCGTTTCAAAAAAAGAATGGATAATGGAGTGCAACAAGTATAATTTATCACAAATATGTTCTGCAGCAACAAAGTGAAAGATCATTTAATTTTCCTAGACTGTTGGTAGTGAACTCTTGCTACTTTCCAATATTTTTTAAAAATAGTATCAGATCACAAAACAAAAGATGCCATTTCCTACCTATAAAATTATAGCACTTTCAGGTGTGACTATTTTCACTCAGAAATTAGTAAAGAGCATGAGTTTAACTCTTCTAAGTAATGACCTGGGGTTTGGTTGTTAGATAAAAAGGAGGAAAATCTTTTAATGTTTTTATTAGGTCAAGAATTATAAACCTGGAGCAATTTTAGTTCTGCTTTAGCCATGAAAGCTGTCTGCTCTAGTCATTCTCTCTCTAGTAACCTCTCTCACAGGTTGTTGTGGGGAAAATAGGAGGAGGAAGTAATGTTGGATATGTTCACTGCCTGGAATTTGTAGGAATAGGAATAATAAGAATAGGAATATAATTTTTTGGCAAGTGTGATTGGACAAGCTATTTGTGTTTGGTGCATAAGCTCTCGGTGTACATAACAACAAAGCAACAAAGTCATAAATCATAAGATACAACAACAAAATGATAGCCATAAGATATCAATAGGAGTAGGTAATAGAAAAGATGAGAAAGATAATAGTAATATAGTCCTACTACATGGTTAGATATCCTTAAGCATAAGACAGTGCTGTGGGAATTAGCTGTTTAGCAGAGTGATGGCATGGCGGGGAGGGGGGAATGGGACTTTTTCCTCCTCCTCTTGGTTCTTCTTCCATTGTTGTAAGAAGACAACAACCAATTATTTAGCCTTCACAGGAGGAAGAAGTGTTATTCATGCCTCTTATTTCTTGCAAAGTTTGACTGCAATATTTTCTATTTCACCTGACTGGCACAGAGAATAAATTACATGTTCCTTGAATCTATTTGTGTTATTTATAGGGCGCTTCAATGTTTACTAAATGTTCCAGACTTGTTTAACAATTGAAGGCATGTAACTATGTGACTGGAAACTTTTATATATCCTGTTTTTAAAAGTTGGCATCTTTTTAAGTTTGAAGTTGGTTAATAATATGTCTAAGATTCTGTTCATTTAGAAAGACTTAGTATGTGATCTAAATGTGTGCTCTTAAGGCAAAAGAAGGGTAGAATAATGTTCAGAGAGTGAAGAAATAATATTTATTTATAAATCAAAGTCTTATGTCTACAGCTGGATTATTATTTACAGCAGTGTTTCCTAATTTGGTCAACTTTAAGACATGTGGATTTCAGTTCCCAGAATTCTCCAGTCAACATGGCTGGGGAATTCTGGAAGTTGAAGTTCACATGTCTTAAATTTGGCAAGGTTGGGAAACAGTTCTAGAAAAATCATATTGGCCAGCACACAATTGTGAGTCAGAGAGAGGCCAACAATTCTCACAGAAATCATTTTTTAAAAGGCTGGCACCTTAGCAGTGTATTTCCATTGCACTTCCGTGAATGATAAATGGGTATACCATCATTACCATACAATTTCTTCAAACCCATGGCAAGCTGAGGCATATAAACACTTCGTTGTAGACTGAATTTTCTTTGACTGCATATCTATATGTTAATCATTGCAGACTATGTTCCAGCAAGAACTGTTTCGTCCCTTTACTTACCTAATAAATATTTTCAAACATAATTTATGAGCTGCAATGTCAACCCTAGATGGAAGAAGGAAAGAAAGGAGGAAAAACTGCTTTTATAAATCACAACCATTCACTAGACAGTATCTGTACACTGGGGATTTTTTTGCCTTTTGTTAATTTACTGCATTATATCTACATATATTTATATAAACGTATCTGGAGAGGTGGACTGATTATGTTTTCCTACCATCCAAGATACTGATATACCAAATTTCTAATTGCTATAAAGAAATAGGAGTTTTGCTTCTCTTTTCCACTTTTAAAATTAAATGAAAATACAATCTATAAATATGGCGGAGAACCCCAAAAGATAATTATTATAGCAATAGCACTTAGACTTATATACCGCTTCACAGGGATTTACAGCCCTTTCTTTCTCTAGCAGTTTACAGAGTCAGCATATTGCCCCCAACAATCTGTGTCCTCATTATCACACTTTTTGGTATACTCCTCACCTTTGCAACCTAAAGCCAAATATAAAATGTAGTATGGAGTGGTCTTGTGAACCCTTTGAGATTGGCCACATCAAGAAACCGTCACTGCAGGGGTTCCAAGAATGTTCATTGCTGTTTGTGATTAATTAGCAATAGCAATAGCAATAGCAGTTAGACTTATATACCGCTTCATAGGGCTTTCAGCCCTCTCTAAGCGGTTTACAGAGTCAGCATATNCTCCTTGTAAACATTTTGAAGATCTTTCTTCAGTGTGTAAAACGTTAATGAATAAGGATGGCTGCATTTTCATAATTTATTAACATTTTGGCACACTGTGCCCACATCTCATTTGACATAACAGAAAAATAACATTCTCAAATAAGAACTCTAAAAACATTCTCCCACCCTCAATATTTTAGTGAATAATCAGGAGATGAACCAGATAAAATTTAGATTAATTTTGTGAATTCTGTTTTCAAGAATCTCTGGTGATCCATCAGTTTCCTGTTAATGAAAATAAATGGCAAAGAGATGAAAAAAATAGTTTTGAGTATAACAATTTCTATCTTTCATAGAGCTTATCCCTTCAGTCTTGTTGTGATGTGCTTTCTCCTGTTCTTACAATGGGAGTGAAGTATGTTGTTTTGAACCCCACTCAGTGGTGGGATTCAGCCAGTTCACACCACTTCAGGAGAACAGATTTTTAACTTTCTGAGCAGTTTGGTGTACTGGCTTTTGGAAGAAATCATTAGGGCAGAGAACCGGTTGTTAAATTATGTGAATACCACCACTGAAGCCACTGTCCAATTTCTTGCCCTCTGGTGCCCTTTTCCTCCCTCACTGGGAACTTACATGGCACTTTGACCAACAATTTTAAGAACATTCAGAAGTTGGTGACCCAGCTGACTTTCACCATTGCAGTGGCCCTCCCCATTTCTTGCTAAATGCCTGTAAATGAATATTTTCAGAGTTAAGGAGGAAAAAAGACTGGGATCCCTCCTCTTATTCAATTGTCCATTTCTATTTTGCTGAACGACCCAGTTTCTTTGCCTACAATTTTCAGTTCCCCCACAATTCTGTCAAAAATCAAGTAACATCAAATAACATTCACCATAACAGTAACATTTAAATAATACCGAAAAGGAGGGGAGAAAGCACACAAACACAGGTTGTTGAACAGGTTGGCATATTTCCTGTGCACTGCTGCAATATTCCTTCCATGATTGACTAAGATAATGGACCAAAGAGGAGAAGGACGAGTAAAGTAAGTGTTTGTAGCATTGCCCATTTCACAAAGGCCTTCATGGTAGAAGATGCTACAGCAACAGAAAGTCTGGCCTCAGAGAAGGAATTTCACAAGGTCAATATTCCCTGAGTTGAAAAAAAGAGAAAATTTTAGTGAAGTTTTGTTCTCTCTGGCAACTATAGAAGGAATAACTTTTGTCAATGATAGAGCAAGGTCTTATCATTTGGAGCCCTGAAAGCTTTCAATGTTTATTAGGAGTACAGATTGTTTACATGGTTCAGTTTTCTGATGGAAAATGTTACTTTCCTTGACCTGATCTCAGCCTCCCTCAGGAATGGGATGACAGTATAGAGGAAACACTGTGGGAATGAAAAGTCCTCACAAAGAATAGATGAACATCTCAGAGCTGTGTAGCTGAACCCACAGTTGGGCTGTGTAGAGTCCTAAGCAAATCAGAGGGAAGCCAAAACGTGCATAAAGGTATCGTTCAAATACTGCCATTAAGTACATATATTCTGACATATGTTTTGTATCACCCACGTTTTGCCATAGGTCTCTGGTCCCTTTTTAAACAATCATATTCCTTAAAAATTTTGCCACCTTCTTTCTTTTCAAAAAAGACTCGGTTGATCCATTATTTTTCTCACTTTTCCTTTTAATAATAGCTGTTATTTTATGTCAACGTGACTTTAACCAAAGAATACAGTACAAAAATACAACCTTGAAGCCTCAGTTTTCCCCATTCTGATCTTAGATACAGTGTGCGAAAAGATAAGACCTTGCATCATTCACTCTAACTTATAGAAAACCTGGCCAAACCAGCTATAATTTGAACTGTACATAGTTTCCTTAAGATATATCTTGTTTTTATAGACGAAGGCCCCGGGATAAATTTGACAATTTCAATTTGGATCAATACTTTGTGATTCATCCAGACTTCCTCAGATACACTAAAAACAGGTAAGACATAAGTGAAGTGAATTTCAAACCTCAGGAACAGTTTCAAGATTTTAAATAAGCAATGTTGGCAGTATGAATAGATGTACAAAACATTTGTTTCAAATTTGCAACGAAGTACAAAACATTCCATAAAAAGTATTACAAATTGGCTGTATGCTATTGGAATGAAACATAAAACAGTTGAGCATTCAATATCTGCTCAAAACAGAACCCAAAATATTTTGTGCTCTGACTGTATAGGAAACAATGAGAAATTGGAGCCAGCTGCTACTGCCTTATTTTCATTTATTTTAGGATTATAAGAATTAGATGGTAGTGGTGGCATTTCATTGATTTATTTAAACTATAAGTAGTCCTCAACTCATGACCAGAATTGAGCCCCAAATTTTTGTTGCTAATTGAAAGATTTGTTAAGTGAATTTTGTCCCATTTTATGACTTTTTGGGGTGTATAGTTGTTAAATGAATCACTGCAGTTGTTAAATTAGTAACATGTTTATGAAATTAATCTGGTTTTCCCATTGACTTTGTTTGTCCGAAGGTTACAAATGGTAATCATATGACTGCAATAGTCATAAATGTGAGTCAGTTGCAAAGTGTCTGAATTTTGATCATGTGACCATGTGGACGCTACAATGGTCATAAGTGAAAAACGGTTACAAATCATTTTTTCAGTGCCACTGTAACTTCAAATGGTCACTAAGTTAACTGTTGCAAATCAGGACTGCCTGTATTTATATGGTTCCTTCTTGCTAAATGAGTAAGGTGACCAGATTTTCAGATTGGTAAAGAGGGACACCTTTGACCGGGGGGGGNAGCTGTCAAGTTACAAGACCCTTGCACCCCTAACCCTTTAGAAAAAAAACGCCAGGGGTGTTCAAACTTGACAGCTTTAAGATTTGTGGACTTCAACTCCCAGAATTTCTCCTCTCGCTCTTCATCTTGATGATGTGCGGACGGGCGGGGGGAGGGAGCTGGAACCAGTTCTAAACGGCACTGTAGATTTGTGGAACCTCTTCTATAGAAGAAGTTAGAACTGGCAGGAACCCACCTCTGGTAAGTACCATAGCGCGATCTTACCATAAATTTCCTAGAGACGTGTGCTTGCTGCAACACGCACACACACATTAATAATTATATGATGTGATATAAGCAAACAAGGGGTAGGTTTTATTGCAATGTATGATGCTTCCTGTTCTCTTAATGGCACTTAATTGTTCTGGGAAATCATATATTATGAAGGCCCATCCTGGGCTGTAACATCTGCTTAGCTTCACTTCTAGCAGAACTCAGAGTAAACGTCATGTCATGCTTGCCTGCATGGTTCTTCCAACTTTCAGATAGTTTTGGAATTGAACTCTCCAACCACATAATCCAAATGTATTTTATTTACTTATCAAATTAGGCAATGCCCATCTAGGTATCTAAGTGGGTAGGATTGCATAGGACCTTATAAAATGAGAAAAGAGCAAAATTTCCTAAAGATACATTGCAACAATCTCCACGGAAGATGAATCTGAAGACTAGTTCATGTTGTGATTGTGTTGTTGTACCCTGGGAAGAAATAGAAATTCAATGATTTTTCATATACATACATGAATATTAAGTATTGGGCAAAATACTGTTTTTTCAAACAGTTGTCCTGTAACTTTTCTTCCCTTCTTTCTCCACTTCTTAGACCTGTCCAGATTCTCTGAGGAACAAGGCTGCCAAATCTGATTGGTTACATGACATTTTCCTACCCAACATCACAATCTTCATGGACAGGAGTCACTTCAGTGACAGTGAATGGAAGCGTATGGACCATTTTGCTCCACCGTTTGGCTTCATGGAGCTAAACTACTCATGTGAGCATTACTATAATTGGGTTGCATAGTGTGGGTTAAAAACAAGACTGCTTCTTCTGGTAGAAGGTATTAGAAGTCATATACTGAGTCAGTTATTAATCCATCCACCCAAAACCTGCTCCATGTTTCCCCATTTTGTGATAAGGGAAAAGTCCATATTCTCAGCGTGATCCTAAGAAAAGAAGAAACAAAAGTCACTAGATTGACATGTGATTGCATTAATATCTACTACAAAATTTATTGTCAGTAATAGGGTTGGTTTACTATGCACCATAGGATGAAGCCAACAATTATAGAGGACGATGCCAACAATTATAGCCTTTTTCTATGCCTTAAACTGTCTTGTGTCCCAATGGCACTCTGATTCTAAACTCGAGTGCAATATTACTGGTTCTCTGCTAAATACAATGCCATTAAACACATGAGTGGAAAAGGATCCTTCATACAGAAAAACAGGTGATGAAAGACAATGAGAGATAATAGTACTCTCTCCTCTGATGATTAAAGCAAGGCACAGGGTCATATGATCATGGTACAGAACCAAGTTATTTGTGGGGGCCCTTATCTGCAATTATTTCTGCCCATCCCACCCGATGTGACATAGCAGGCATGCTTCAACTCTCTTCTATGAAACAGAGTAATGAGGTCCCCAAAGTATGCCTTCTCTGTCATGGTCCCTACTTTAAACTCCCCATCTCCACCCCCAAAGACCCTCTTGGTCTTCTATAAGGCCTTTAAGATTTCTCCAAACCTTAAGTGATTATGATTCATATGATTTTAGTGTTGGGAGGTGTTTTTTTTTCAGTTAAACCCCAATTAATTGTGCTGTATTGATGGATATATTATCTGTATCATTTTATTTATTATCATTATTGTTGCTGCTTTAAATTGTTATTAGTTGCCCAGAGTCATATCCTGAGAAAGGTGGACATAAATACAATTATGTTGAAAGATTTGCCCTAGCTACAAGTTATCTACTAGGTATAATTTAATTTTTAAAATTCTAAATGTCTTAGGACACAATTATCTGCAGGAGCACTTCTCCTGCTATGAACCCATCAGGTTACATAGATTAGCTGGGGGGGAAAAAACTTATCTGAAGATGTTCCTGTTGCTAGAAAGTAAACTTGTGGAACTATGGAAAAGGATGTTCTCTTACATAGTTACCAGACTAAGGAACATGCTCCATAGGAAGCACGTTAATGAAGGTGTTCGGCTTTCATTCAGAGTAGAGCAATACCTCAATGCAATAGACTTGGCATTTTGTTGTTGTTAGTTGTGAAGTCGTGTCTGACCCATCGCGACCCCGTGGACTATGTTCCTCCAGGCTTTCCTGTCCTCTACCATCCTCTGGAGTCCATTTAAGCTCACGCCTACTGCTTCGGTGACTCCATCCAGCCACTTCATTCTCTTGGCATGCAAGGGACCAAATTCCATTATGCACATTATAATATCAGGCAAATGATTCGCTTTTTGCTATTGCATCTGTGGGCAGATACTACAGAAGGCAGGCGGAGGGATTGCTACAAGGGCATGCATGCTAGGAAATACAAGTCTCCTGGAATCTCATATACCATAGCCAGGCTCCTCGAGAGAAAAAAGCAGTGGGAGTGGAGTGATTTGCCAGCTTCCCCATTGACTTTTCTTGTGGGAAGCTGGCAGGGAAGGCCACAAATGACAATCATATGACCATGGGACATTGCATCCATCTTAAGTGTGAGCTGGTTGATAGGTGCTCAGATCACAATCACATGACCGGAGGGGTTTGGTCAGAATTTCAAGGACCACTTGTAAGTACCCCTCATGCAGCACCACTGTAACTTTGAATGCCTGCCGAACAATTGTAAACTGAAGACTGCCTGTATAATAATAGAATTTTGCAAGTACTTTTTTCTCCTTCCTATATTCTAGTGATTTGGGGAAAACATGCTAGCTTTTTATTTTTTGGCCAGGGTTATGAGATGGCACTGACAATTCCAGATTCAATTTGTATCAGGGAAGATCACAAGCTCTATGTACAACTGAACTTTCAATGCAAAGACAAGATAGTCGATGTAATATATTCTAATTTAGTTTTTCAGCTATGCCCGAAATGTTGGATGTGTCCTACACAGTTTGGACCTGTCTGATTTTATGTAACCTGCTAGCCTCTTCCTATGAATAATAGTGTCTCATTTCTTTCCAGTGGTAAAAGAAGTGATATCCATGCTTCCTTCTAAACCCTACCATCACATTCTCTTTCCACACAACAACAGTCAGACCTCCAAGTGCATCACTTGTGCAGTAGTAGGAAATGGAGGGATACTGAATAATTCCAGAATGGGCAAGGAAATCGACTCTCATGATTATGTGTTCCGGTAAGAGTAACTGTAGTTCTGCAGAAGGCCCTAAGTTGTATGCAGATTTACCTATTAAGATGCCACCTGCACAGTCACAATTCTTCTGCTGTCATCCCTGAAGGATAGCTACTTCCTCCCCTCCAGCTTAACTGCTGCATCATCTATGTTACAGCAGGAACTCTTTAGCCAGGTAGTCAGTCACCTTTCAGAAGACTGCTGGGTGCAGAAATAAAAAGCATCCCCCCCAAAGTGTACTGGAATAGGCAGCTGTATTGTGCCTCTTTGTATTCTGTGCTGCAACGAAATTTGAAGGTGCTAGCTATTTCCACCACAATTTTCTTACCGCTACCTGGAGAAAGAGAATTGGAAAATGGCTTTTCAGCTGCCACTCCATGGAGAGAAGTAAGCTTTTTGAGGACTAGGAGAACTGGTACCAAATATACTTACCTCCCTCCCTCCCTCCCTCCCTTCCTTCCTCCTCCTCCTCCTCCTCTATATAAAAACGGCTGTGTGTATGTACTGTATGTTTCAGCCAAACTTGGTAAATAGATGACTTACTCTCTGGAAACAAATACTGTGGTGGTAAGATGCCCTTAAACCCCTCGGGGTGTGTGTTCTGTTAAGATACAGCCTGTTGTGCCCTAAAATGGTTTCTACTGTACTGCCATAAAATGGATTCTACTGTACAGAACAGTGGAATTGCCGTGGTAATGACTTCACAATACTCTACAAGGGGGTTCCTTCTGGTAAGGGGGAAAATCCAACATTAGAAATTATGTTTGGTCCGGACATTTTCCTGCTATAAATAAATACCTTGGCAATGCTGGGTTATCGGCTATTGATTATTAAAAGAGATGGAAGATATTGTTTTTTTTTAAATTAGTAGCAATAGCAATAGCAGTTAGACTTATATACCGCTTCATAGGGCTTTCAGCCCTCTCTAAGCGGTTTACAGAGTCAGCATATTGCCCCCAACAACAATCCGGGTCCTCATTTTACCCGCCTCGGAAGGATGGAAGGCTGAGTCAACTCTGAGCCGGTGAGATTTGAACAGCTGAACTGCAGAACTGCAGTCAGCTGAAGTAGCCTGCAGTGCTGCATTTAACCACTGCGCCACCTCGGCGCAGAAGAGAAGTGTTTTGTTTAGCACAGAGTGAAAGCTGTGATTTGCCCAGTGCCAGAAAGCAAATGGAGCTGAAAATCAGAGACCAAATATCAGAAAAAGGTCTGTGGCAGTTTCAGTTAGCCAATAGACCTTGCTTCTAATCTTACCTTTGTCTGATGCTCAGTCTTTCAGTCCGGGTCCATGACTACTGCTGGAAGAAGCTGGAAAATATAACCCTGAAGCAATTGAAGAAGAGACAGACAATGGCTGCCTTTGCAATGGGCCAGAATAGATAGAGGACAATATTGTATGTTCACATTCTCCACAAACAGTCAGATATCTTCATGGCCATGACAAGCAGGATGTCTGGATGATTCCTTAGTTTACCCAAACAGGAACCAGGAATAGTCAGTTTTAGTTCCATTCTATCAGTACCAATATAATACTGCTAATAATATACCGTGTTTCCCCCAAAATAAGACAGGGTCTTATTTTCTTTTGACCCCCATAATAAGGGCTTGGTCTTATTATCGAGGAGGGGGACGTGGGCTTATTATTTTCTGGCAGGTGGGGTGAGCAAGAAGCGAGACACACGTCTTACCTTTCCAACTCCGTTGCGTTCCTCGCCGTTGTGTCCAGGGAAACACATAAAAAAATCCCTTCTCACGAGTTCAAACTTCTTGAACTCACGATAAAGTTTTTTTACAATGTGTTTCCCTGGACATAATGGCGAGGAACGCAACAAAGCTGTCAGTGTCCAGTAAGACACATGTCTCACGCTTGGTGCAATTTTGGAGGGTGGCAGATGGGGCGGGGGATGTGGCAGGGCGGGCTGCGAGACATGCATCTTACTGGACACTGACAGCTCCATCACATCTCTCGGCCAGTCTGTGCAGGGAAACACCTTGCACAGTAAAGAAAAACTTCTCGCAAGTGTGAGCAATTAACAACTTCTTGAACTCGTGAGAAGTTTTTTCTTTACTGTGCAAGGTGTTTCCCTGCACAGACCAGCCGAAAGATGTGATGGCCAGTGTCTGGTAAAATGCGTGTCTCGCACTGGGGTGCAATTTGGGGATGGCAAGTGGGGTGCGAGGCGCAGCAGGTGTTCTTTTTGCGGCAAGCGCTCTTTTTACTGGGGCAGCTAATTTTGGGGAGGGGGGTTATTTTAGCTCATGCCCTGAAAAGCCTGATTGGGTTTAGTATCAGGACATGTCCTATTTTTGGGGAAACAAGGTACTTTCTTAAGGTTTTCTTGGAAAAACAAAGTGATTGTTACTCCAATTGTCATATTTGATCGGCTGAGAGGTTTCTTTCATATCTATGCCTGTGGGCAAGGACCTTGGGAAACTGAGCTGATTAACTATCAGCTCAGTTCTTCTTCTAGAGGCAGTTTTGCAAGTTTCCTTCTAGTGCAGCAAGGAAGATGTATTCCCTTTGAAGGAAACTTTCATCTTGTTCCACTTCCTGGTCCCTGCAAGTTCTTCCTGCATCTAAGATTTTCTGACATATCTTCTTCCCAGACAATGTCTCCACAGTGACTGGCTGGCTTTGATTTTTTTTCCCCCTTCTTCTTCACATGAAAGAACAGCTGTCTAGCTGCTTTTTGTGTACTTTCCCTTTGGCCAGCTGGGGGCACCGGCGGATGACTTACTGGAAGTCAGTAATCAGCGCTGTGGAAATTAGACAGCAGGAAAAACTCTTGCTAGTGACTGGACACACAAAAAAGGCCACAGAAGTGCTCTGTGAAAGCTTAAAGCTAAGACATTTCCTGAATCCAGTTGGAATTAATGAGAGCAATTCTCACTCATTGACCAATGTGTATGCATGTATGGAATGTATCTTAATATTTCTGGAATCTTGCAAATTATGCATATGTATCTGAAGTAGCTCCACTTAGCTAACTTGGTGATTTTATATGATCTCTTTTACCAGAGTGAGCGGAGCTGTGATCAAGGGTTATGAAAAAGATGTGGGAACAAGAACTTCTTTCTATGGATTCACATCCTACTCCTTAATGACTTCAATTATGATTCTGGGGAATCGTGGGTTCAAGAAGATCCCTGCAGGAAAAGTAAGGCAGATATCCTTATATCTCTCCTCCGCCTAGTTGAACAGTAGTTGTGAGAGCAACGTAGATTAAAAATCCGTAACTTTCCTCCACAAGCCAACTCTGCTTTATCCGTCTTTCACCCAAGGCCAGCAGAGAGTGCCCAGCCCTATCTCTTATGCCGCTGTGGCACACCATCTGCTGCGCCCCTTCCCAGTGTATCTGTGGCATGTTTCCTAGGAGATCAAGTATCTACACTTCCTGGAAGGAGCAAGAGATTATGAATGGCTGAAAGCTCTTCTTCAGAACATCAATGTCAGGAAGGGATTTTTGGACTATTATGGGTGAGTAGTGCTGTGCTTTCTTGATGAGGACTGCCACAATGGAAGGCAAGAGGGGTCGAATGACAAGACATGTAGGGACAAGGTCATCTTGCAAATGTTGTGATTTGCATAATCTCATAACATCAGGTGTTGGGTTGCAAGTACATAATGGTATTGGATATGCCTGATGACATTGCCGTGTCGTTGTGTAGTTTGCTACGGATGCTGCTGAGAAGAAAAATGCAGAAATTAATATGTATCAATAGAATATGGGCATAAAAATTCCCATTTGAAATGCATAAAACTAATGTAGCATAATAGACATATTCAATTGAAAGCAGGTCCAGATGCAAAATTGTATTTGTACTGCCTTATACGCACCAAGGTTTTGAAGAGGCAATTTTTTAAAAAAAGGTTTTTGCACTCTGCAAACCTCCCAGAAATGGCCCATTGTTCACAAAAACGGGTGCATTTTTTGTCAAAAAAAAGGGCATGGATAGCCTTTAGGAGGCTTATAGAGTGCTCCTGGGGGCTGTGGGGCAAAATTGAGCAAAATAAACGGGCCATTTTTTGCTCATTTATGCCCTCCCCAGCCCCTAGGAGCACTCTGAAAGCCTCCTAAAGGCTATGCATGACCATTTTGGTGAAGGGGGTGGAGTTTAAGGAGGCAAAAAATGCTGCATTCAGTGTATAAGATGCACTCAGATTTTTTGAGGGAAAAAGGTGTGTCTTATACTCCGAAATATGGCATGTATGTATGTATGTACGTACGTACATACNCTATGGTACTAGATCATTTTTTTCTTATAAAATGAGGTCAACGCGGCGCGGGGGGATCCGTTTTGTTGCTTTAATGTTTTAATACTGAGACAGAAAGAGAGAGGGATTAGACAGGGTGTCTATTGTCTTGCCCCGGTTAGGATTTCTTAAGCAAATCCACTGGGCTTTCAACATAAAGCCAGAAAATCGGGACTTTTTTAAAAACGCGGAGGGACACGGGAAAAATTGTTATAAAGCGTGCTTGTCACGCTGAAATCGGTATGTCTGGTCACCTTATTCATGGGACCTTTCTCATTTCTTTTCCTTGTAAACACTTTGCTATTGCTTTCCACTTACTTCACAACAACAACAACCTTGCAATTAACTGTTTCTTTGTAAGAAAGGGAATCAAAGTATTAGCTCCTTTCAGTCTGGGGATGGGGTAAAACACACACGCATTCACACCAACTTGTTTGTACTGCAATCAGACTGCTTGTGTAAACAATTTCATATACAAAAATTTCACTTCATGCTTTCTCCATTCAAACCAATCATTATAATTAATTCAGGGATCTTTTCACAAGCCAATAAGCTCCATTTTCTAAATAACATTTTGTGTACTATAATTAGAGTTCTCATCCTCCCTCCAGGTGTTGGAAATGGCTACACACGTAGACATACAAACACATACCATTAAACATCTTTTCCAGATCTGTGGAGGTTTTGTCCCTTTAAATTTCCTCTTTTTTCTTTCCTTGGGCAACCTGTGGCTTGTTCTCCAAGCAGTGGGAAAACTCAAGGCATGATTCCAATCAAAAATGTGATGGAGGGCCGTAACCACTGCCTACCTGTTTCCCACAGTTTTAAGCCCAAACTGAGAAGCCTACCATATTTTTTGTAGTATAAGACGCACCCTTTTCCCTTAAAAAGAGGCTGAAAATACACTGAATACAGCATTTTTTGCCTCCCGAAACCCTATCCTCTCCTGTAATCACTCCAGGCGATTAGCAACGCTTCATTGAGAGAGGGGTTCTTTCCCACCACCTTGAAGGAGGCGGTGGNAGAGTGCTGGAGTTAGGTCAAAGCTTAATCAATCTAACCCTGCCCTGGGTCAAAAATGCTGGTTGTGTTTATCTGCTGGACCTTCATCTTATCATTTGAACCAGACTTTTGGGAAAAGACCAAGTCTACGATAGTCCTTGACAAGGGAGGTATATGGGGAACCAAAGCAGTAGAAGCCCAGCTACAAAGTGATTTGTATAATGCACTCAAAAAGCTGGGGATGAGCCATCTCCCCATCATTGGCCCCATAGCCATGGGTGTAGAAATTATAGGGTCACCCTCCTTGTGCATCCAATATTATCAGGAACCTGACATTCCTGTGAGGTCACTGTTAAAAGAACAGTGCCTATCTGAAATGTATCTTGCCCCTAGGAAGACACTTGTGGACGTGAAATTAACTCGCAGCATGTCTCCTGTTCACAACCTCTTCCAACAGAAGGTCACTTTCTCGCTTCTGCCCCCACTCGTTTTTAACTGTTGGGAGTGGAATTTGACTACTGGAAGATGCCCAAGGCCATTTCAGCCACCCCAATTCCCTGTTTGGCTTTTGATTCAATCCACTATGGGATTTTGTGTTCACTTTCCCACTGCGAGGGTGCATGGTGTGTTTTTTCTATCTTTTTTTTCCTTCTTTTTTTAAAAAATTTATTTGTATTGTTAGCCGTCCGGAGTCCTACGGGATTGGGCGGCATATAAATGTTTTTAAACTTTAAACTTTAAACAAGACAAAAGGAGAAGTAAGACAATATCTACTTATAAGGCTACTTTCCTTAAGATAACCAATAAGAAATGAGTTCAGCGTTTCTGTGTTATGCTGCTTTTGAGAATGTATAAGAATGTGTGCTTCAATAATAAGGGTTGTTCAGAATTTGCATACTAGCCTTTGACTAGTTTTCTGAACCTGTCTGCCAATAAACTTCTCCTGGATCTCGAGACATCTAAATCCTATCATTTTCTGCAACAAAATCATTGTGTTCCATAAGTGAACCCTCATATTTTAAAATCCATGAATCTGTCAGTCATCAACTGGCCTTTTGGTTCAAAATCGCTCTCACTTGAGGAGGGGCATCAGGGCTCCTCCAAAAGTCAATTTTCTGGTTTCACTCACTAACACTGCCCTAGTCACCACCGCTTGAACACAATTTGCCCACCTTCTACAAATAGGGTCTAACATTTTAAACAAAAATACTACTGGATGTCTCTTTCCTCCCCATTTCTGGGTTAAAACCCCAAAAGCCATTCCTTCATCCATGTTTACAAATAGAAAAGTTTACCATATTTTTCGGAGTATAACACACTTTTTCCCCCTAAAAGAGGGTGAAAATTTGGGTGCATCTTATACGTTGAATGTTGCATTAGCCATACCTGGGGGGAAGGGGGAGGGATTTGGAGGGGCGGTGGCAATGGCAACAAGCAGCTGATTGGCGATAGTCTAGGAGGCTGATCCAACTGCGAATCAGAGAGGTGGGATTCAAACAGTTCGGCCTAACTGTTTGTTAAAGTGAGGAGAATCGGCTGATCCCATCATTGCCTGCTCTGTTTGTTGAGCAGTTTGCTGAGGACTCCCTGCCATCGCCTGCTGCCCCACCACCTGCCACTCCACCACCTGCTGCCCCGCCACCTACTGCATCACCTGGCCTGCAATCCCACCACCACACACTGCCTGCTGCCCTGATGCCACCTGCCATCCCGTCGCACTGCCAGGCCTGCACCCCACCACCAGGCCTGCCGCTCCACCACCACCACCTGCCACACCGCCGCTGGGCTTGCCACACTGCTACCACCACCTGTCACACTGCTGCTGCTGGGCCTGCCGCACCACATCTGCTGCACTGCTGCCACCTGCCATACTGTCACAATACTGGGCCTGCCCTTACTGCCACCTGCATCCCAGTTGCATCACTGGGACTGCCACCCTGCCGGGACTGCATGGGCTGTGTAGACTGTGAACCCAGAGACACACAGAGAGGTATGGCTTGACTTTCAGCATCAGAGATGGCAAGCAAGGGTTAGGGTTAGGGTCATTGTGAGTGGGGCATGCATGGTGAGATGGGGGCTTCTCTTGCCATCCATTTCCCTCCTCCCCATTGCTGGGCATGGCATGGCATGGCATGACTCCCTTCCCCACCACAGCTATTGACACAATTTGGGGGTGGCAAACTATGTTTATTAGCACAGGCTTTGTAAAGATAACATGGCTAGATTTTTTTTTCAGGAGGAAAAGTATCACCAATGTCCTAAAATTCTCGGCTTGCTATTGTTGCTATTGCTTGCTAATGAACACAAGAAACCTGGTTTCAGCTACAGTGCTCTGTATTTTCATAAAGGACACATTACTGTTCTTTCTTGCAGAAAAATACTACGGGACCTCCTGATGCTACATACAAAGATGTCAAAGCAGAAAAGGCAAGCATATAAAATTTATTTTAAACTGGAAGAAGTAAAATATGCTGAGGAACATGGAAACAGAACAGCAGAGAAACATTTTGGACCACCTCCAACTGAAAAAATGATAAGCACAATTTCGTGGGCTTCCTGCAAAGTGACCACAGTTAGAGATGGGCATGAAAGACTGCATCACACATTACCGGAATAATGGTTTCGCAGTTTCCACAAAAAGGGTAATATATGAAGTCAAATACATTGCTGCACAGAAAGGCATTCAGGATTTTACTGGATCACAATTGTGGTCCTTCAGATTTATGAGGCGATATGGCCTTGCTATGCACACCAAAACTAGAATTGCACAAAAAATGCCAAAAGAATCTAATATTCTGTCTTTTCATATATTTATGATAGATGTTAGGAAGAGAAATAATTTTGAGATTGCCCAGATTGGGAATATGGATGAAGTCCCACTAACCTTTGATGTGCTAGCTAATAAGACTGTTGACCTAAAAGGTGCCAAAAGCATAATCGTGAAAACCTCAGGACATGAGAAAACACATTACATGGTTGTGTTGTCCTGCTGTGCAGATGGCACCAAAAGAAAATGGAAGAGTGTGGGTTGAAAAAGTGTGGTTCAAACATCCTGGAGGGCTTTTGAAAAAACCTTTATTCATATTCAACCTTTAGAGCACATTAGCAAAACCACAAAGAAATTATTTAAAGAAGTGAAGACTTATCTAGCTATAATTCCTGAGGATCTTACCAGCCAATTGAAAGCACTTGATGTTTCCATCAACAAACCATTCAAAGTCTACATGCTAGAAGAATGGAACAAATGGATGGCTGTTGGTAATCATGATCTGAGACTTACTGGATGAATGAGGAGACCCATTGTCACTCAAGTTTATGAATGGGTGAAAACATCATGGCACTCAGTGAAGGATGAAATCGTTACACAGTCATTCAAAAAATGTGGCATTAGCAATGCCTTAGATGGAACTGAAGATGATATGATATATAAAGGTAGCGAGGAAAGTTATATCAGTGATTGTGAGCAACTGAGCTTCCTAAATTCTGATACTAGTGCTGATGAGTTCTTGGGATTTCCAGAAAATTAGAAGACTGCTTTAACCTTAACATGTCTCCTCATTTGTTAATGATAGTGATGATGGTTCTTAATACAGATGTTGACTTTACAAGGTTGTAAAAAATATTCTGCTATATTTTATTGAATATATTACTACACCATTTGGTTCAGAATATTTTTTTCTTGTTTTCCTCCTCTAAAACCTAGATATGTTTTATAGTCAGGTGCATCTTATACTCCAAAAAATACGGTACTTAGTGAAGGAAGAACCAACACAGGAGTGCTTACCAAACTCTGAGTTTGTTCAGTAATTATTTTTCCTCCTCAGTCCATTGTATAATACTAGGCTCTTCTTCTAATAGTTTTGCATACAAGTCTTTAGTTAAAATAGCATAATTATCTACCCACAGTCCACAATATCTAGTAAATTCTAGAAATTGCTTCATTTTAGGCAAGAGTTGAGTTACTATTCCCTCAATTCTTTTAGGTATTATTTTTCTACTACTTTCACTAATGAAATACCTAAGTATTTTATCTCTCTTTCTACCTATTGTAATTTCTTTTTAGATACTCAGAGTCCTTTTGCTCCTAAAAAATTAAATAATTCATCTCTGTAACAATTCCTGAAAGGGCACAATGTATGCTGCTAAAAAGTGTATCATAGGATGGAGCACTTTGACTCCTAAATATTCAAAATGAGTGTCCCGCAACAGATGTAAAGATATAAAGAAGGAAGTAAAAATAACAACTTCAAAAAGAAGCAATCTTAGTGAAATATTCTGAGTTAATGCACTGAAATATATGTGGGTATGCAAGTAAGCCACTGGGCTACTGCAAAGGCTAAAGTTATCAAACTTTAGTATCAATTTTCTGCTTTTAATAAAAAGTGAGTCAGATTCAGATTCCATTCAGATGGAAGCAAATTCTGATTAAGTTGGTTAAAAATATTTACAAATCTAAGCAAAAGATTTCAGAGTCATTTCTTTTGCTTGATAAATATATAGGTTTAACTAAGAGTCTTAAACCTCAAAGACTTTGAGAGAAGAAATGTACTCAGAAAAGAAAAATAGATCTGCATAGCTTCCTAGTATATGCAGACCAAAACTGAAAGTTAATGAAAAAGAAGGTATCAGTTGTCACAGTTACCCTGCCTTTTCTCAGGCACATTCAACTAAGCAGGAAAAAAATGGTTAAAAGGAACTGCACCCACCTCCCTTTCCTGCTCTCTCTCCCACCTTCAAGGCAGAAAGCAGAAAGTCTTTGAGTAAAGAATGACCCAGTGAAAGACGATACAGGAAAAAATGTTTAAAAGACTACACAGAAATCTCACCTCCTTTTTCCACTCAGGATCCTTTTAACAAAATAATTCATTCTCTCTCCCTCCCACTCTTCCTCTCCCTCCCCCCCCCTTCAGTAAATCACACACATTTTTCTATGAATTTTTCTCCCACATCCTCCATGGATAAGGTGACCAGATTTTCAGATTGGTAAAGAGGGACACCTTTGACGGGGGAGGGGAGGCTTGATTAAAAATTTTATACGGAGCAACAAAAATTTTCATACAACGCAAAAATAGTATTGTAATGTTTTTTTTATTTCAACATATAAATTGTAACTGTTGCCAAACATCCAAATTTTGATCACATGACCATGAGGATGCTGCAATGCTCGCTAAGTGTGAAAATGGTCGCTAAGTGTGAAAAATGGTCATCAGTCACTTTTTTCAACGCCATTGTAACTTTGGTCACTAAGCCCATTA